AGTGTGAAAGGCTCCAGCCTGAGTGCAGTACCATAGAGGCCCGTTTTTCTCCACCCATGCGACAGTCGCTGGTTGCTGTTCAAACGGTTTGCACCCTAATACTGCAGAATATCACTGAATGCTTCTCAGTTCCCCAAGGAGCAGTGTTTCCTGGGTTTGGACGAGATTTAGGATGGCTTTGTAAAGTTAGTATTATAGTTGCTGGCTAAAAAAAGAATACTTATTTACAGTGCTTTTTTTTGGTACAAAAATAAAAAAGAACAAAAAAGGTGCTGTACTCATATATAAGGTTGCACTGATGTCCACCAGTTCTGCCCTCAGGATTTGGGAGATGCCGGTACTCAATACTGGTGAGAACTCCCATGCAAAAAAAGGCCCTGTTTATTTACAAAAATAAATCTGTAGAATCTGCAAAGGGCAGGATCCATCCTCCCCCAGTAGATCTCCAAGAGAGGGCCAGTCCCCCCCCCCCCCCCCCCCCCCTTCTTCCTCTGTCTGGATCTCTCTGGCTCCACTTCAGTTTGTAAATCCATTGAATTAGAAAGGTTGATTTCCATCCCCTTCAGCCTGCCTGCACTTTACTATAAATGTGTGATTTTGGTCTCTTCCCAAATGTAAATGTGATGTTTCTTCTTGTACCACCCCCACCCTTAACTGGCACCTTCTCCAAGCTCTGGGGCCTTAAAGAAGGGGGTTATTTGGAGACATCCTAACAATTAACTCCCTTTTAGCAAAATTAGTCATGCCGGCCACAGCGCTGGCTCTTCGGCTTTGAAACGGAGATGAGCACTGCAACCGTAGAGTCGGATTCGACTGGATTTCGAGCAAGGGAACCTTTACCTTTACCTTAGCAAAATTCTAGGGGCCGTGGTGACTTAGAGGTTAAGATGCTGAGATGCAGACTAGAAGGTCTGTAGCTCGGCAGTTCGAGACCCTAGTGCCGCATGATGGAGTGAGCTCCCATCTCTGGCCCCAGCTCCTGCCAGCCTAGCAGTTTAAAAGCAAGAAACTGCAAGTAGATAAATAGGTGCTGCGGTGGGAAGGTATCAGTGTCCTGTGTGCCTCGGCGTTTAGTCATGCCAGCCACATCACCATGGAGAAATCTTTGGACAGCGCTGACTCTTCAGCTTGGAAATGGAGATGAGCATCACCCCCTAGAGTTGGATTCAACTGGCTTTCATAAAAACGTAAGAGAAGCCAATGTTGGATCAGGCCAATGGTCCATCCAGTCTAACACTCTTGTCACACAGTGGCCAAAAATACCAGGTGCCATCAGGAGGTCCACTAGTGGGGCCAGGGCACTAGAAGCCCTCCCACTGTTGGCCCCCCCAAGCACCAAGAATACAGAGCATCACTTTCCCTAGACTGAGAGTTCCTATCTGTACCTTGTGGCTAATAGCCACTGATGGACTTCTGCTCCACATGTTTATCCAATTCCCTCTTGAAGCCGTCTATGCTTGTAGCCGCCACCACCTCCTGTGGCTGTGAATTCCATGTGTTAATCACTCTTTGGGTGAAGAAGGACTTCCTTTGCTCAGCAATTTCATTGAGTGCCCACGAGTCCTTGTATTGTGAGAAAAGGAGAAAAGTACTTTTCTCTACCTCCTCTATCCCACTTCAATCATGTCACCCCTCAGTCGTCGTTTCTCCAAGCTAAAGAGCCCCAAGTGCTTTAACCTTTCTTCATAGAGAAAGTGTTCCAATGCTTTTATCATTCTAGTTGCCCTTTTCTGCACTTTTCCCAATGCTATAATATTCTTTTTGAGGTGTGGTGACCAGAACTGTACACAGTATTCTAAATGAGGTCGCACCATCGATTTATACAGAGACATTATGATACTGGCTGATTTGTTTTCAATCCCCTTCCTAATAATCCCCAGCATAGCGTTGGCCTTTTTTATTGCAGTCGCATACTGTCTCAACATTTTCAATGACTTATCTACCAAGACTCCAAGATCTCTCTCTTGGTCAGTCTCTGCCAGTTCAGACCCCATCAACGTGTATTTATAGTTAGGATTTTTGGCTCCAATGTGCATCACTTTGCACTTGGCCACACTGAACCCCATTTGCTATGTTGACGCCCACTCGCCCAACCTCAACAGATCCCTTTGGAGTGCAAGGGAAACCTTAACCTTAGGAACATTCTATACTACAGCCATTAACACTGCAGGCCTAAGCATAGAGGGAGTTAATCGTTAGGAGGTCTCCAAATGCAGTCAATGTACTCACATACCATAACTACAGTGCTAGTTGCTAAATGTTATCTACTCGACTGGTAAAATACCTGCCTCACGGCTTTGCTAAATGACATCTAGTATCTGCTAAACTTTGGAATTCAGAAAAATCTCTTCGACAGTTAGGCTTGAGAAATGCATGGATCTATGTTCATTAAATATGTGGATAGATATTGAAAGTGCACACTTTCAAAGGGACGGTTTCCTGAACACAGATTTCATGACTCCGTGCAAGGGGACCTTTGCACACTTTGGATTCAGAGTTTTTCCTTCACAAAACCTGAAATAAATGTACTGGATGTTTGCATGGAGGGAGGCCCTTTGTTGCACGTTTGCAGTGACCCAAAGGCCTTCACAATTTTGGAGACTTTGTGTGGAAGCTACAATGTGTTGTTCATTTGTTGTATTCTGTGATACTGAGTGATCAGTTTAGATGTATGTCTGTTGTACATTAAGCATCATGCACTAACCAGGCTCTTCAGGAGATTTTTGTAGATGTGTTCTCTTATAATTGTGTGAGAATAAGGAATAATCTTCCTTTTTGTGAGTCAGTTTAAAAGACAAAGGCCTCCATCTTGTGGACTCTGACTGACTAGAAAAGTGGCATAAAATGTTTTAAGTTAAAATGTTTTAAGTAAATTGTCAGCAAGGAAACCCACATTTGGACTAACACCCTCAAAATTCAGCAACCCAGTATATATTATTCAGAAGTTCACATATCTGCTTACTTGGCGCTCTTTCTCTGGCAGTGGAATTTGCTTAAGACAGCTTGTTGAGGGATGTGAATATTAGCATAAGTCAGTTATGCAATGTAATTAACTGCAGAGAGTGCTCAGAATACCTCATGCGACACTATCTGGCAAGAGATTAAAGTTTCTGGACTCCAGTGTTGAGATCAGGAGAGATAACAATATGTGACTTGGTCAATGTATTGTAGTCTGTGAGTGTAATCCAGAGAAACTTTGGCGCATCTGTGTTGGTGGAACTTGGAATTGGCCTTGGTTCTGGGAAGACGGGCTTTTTCCCAGGTTCCAGTTAGTCCCGGTAGTACACAGAGACTAGCAGTGTCATCCTAAGCAGAGTTACACCCTTCTAAGACCATTGACTTTTATGGATCCAGAAGGGTGTAACTCTGTTTAGGATGGCACTGCAAAAGGTTTACTTGTGTACATAATTGTTCCTTGCTTCTGGGAGAGTCTTGCTGCTTCCACAACAGTCTGTAGAGAACCTCATAAGAGGGAGAATGGCCTGCCTCAGGAGCTGCGTGATTGTGGACAGCGTGAGGCACCAGCATGCTGTAGAATTGCCACTCTCTTCTCCACCACTCTGCCATCCAAGGATGCAAATGTAAAGAAAGAGATTTTCCCAAACTGCTAAGCTCCACCAGAAGTTTCAGTGCTAGACCAGAGATGCATGGAAGACTTCGGCTTGGACATCGGTGCTGTGTGTTTTTTTACAATTGCTTTGAAAGTAGAAGCCGCTTTCCTGTGTTTAGAGTTTGAATACGAGTCTGATTTCAGGTGGGTAGCTGTGTAGGCCTGCAGTAGATGAGCAAGATTCGAATCTAGGGGCACCTTAAAGACCAGCAAGATTTCCATGGGAGAGGTGTCCCAGAGTCCAAGCTCCCTTTGTCAGATGTGAATCTGCGTTTCCAATGCTCACTTCTGACCAAGCTAAAGAAACAGGTTCTGGTTTGCCCAGTTGATGAGACAGACTTGCGCTTGAGTAGGCTGCAGCTGCTGCTGAAGTCTCCCAGAAATGAGCGTGAAGTGCACACAGATCAAGTACATTAAAAAAGGATTTAGTACTTATGCATGAAGTGCTTAAGGATTTTTTTGATTATGCATTTGTGGGTTTTTGGGGATGGGAACAGGTAGGCAAGATTCCTGGGCCAGAACCAACTATACTAAGAAGAGAGGTGAAGGATCCACTTTGGATAGCCGAATTCAGAGGCAGTGAGTGATGGCTTTCTGCTTCTCGGAGGCTGAGTGGACAAAATCATGGCTACTGCTGCTTCTCAACTCCATCCCCACCCTAAGGCTGTCCATTGTTGGAAAAGACAAGGTATCTGCAATTCAGAGATGCTGTGTAAATGCTCAGGATGTGACTGAGTCTGGCTTCTTCATTTTTTAAAAAAAGATCTAACTTAGAATGTTCACGTGAGTCCGTCCTCTCTCTCTCTCTAGTGCCAGAGGACTGGGGTTTGCTTTTGAGTATTTCTGACTTTGGGATCCCGTTTCTGATTGGAGGTGATTAGAGTCAAAAAGAGGCAAAGAGGGCATCCCCTCTTCAGCCACCTGATCTTATGCGCTGCCCCTTCCCCAGTTTAGAGAAGGGTTGTGGCTTTGGGTTCATTTACGAGAAGGGCACTTGAAAAACAGGTGTTGCTGTGAAGTTAGGCCAGGAGTTCCACAAGCCCTTTCGGTGTGCGCTCCCTGTGTCTCTTTCTCCCTCACACGCACAAGCACACAAACACACACACACACACACACGCAAACATGTACTAGAATAATAATAGTTGAACAGCAGCCCCGCCCTGCTCAGTCAGGGGAAGGATTGTGCCGAGTAAGCTGTCTGCCGCCGTTCTGTCGAGACTCGGTGAACGCTCTGCTTGTGCGGCTTGCAAGGGGGCAATGATTCGGGATTGCAGAGCAGTGGTTGAGGAGGCCCCACAGCCGCCTTTGCCGGACAGCAGCATCCCAAGCCCTGGCAGGTCGCATTCCCAAACCGTTCCTGAGCAGCTTCTTTCTTTCCCTCTCTCGGTAGGATTCCCAGTCCCTGGACGGCTGTATCCAGAGCACACTCTCGGCGCTCTACCCTCCCTTCGAGGTCACAGCGGCTACGGTGCTGTGTCAGGTCTTTGATGTGGTGGAGAAGACCTACCGAGGGGACGGCCTGCGCTACCTCATCGACTTCCTGATTCCGACCAAGCACATCTTGCAGTGTGTCCAGCAGGATGCCTGTGTAAGTATCTTGGGACGTCTGGTGGGCCCCAGAAGATTCTGCCGGCCTTTCCTATCAGGGCTAGATGTTTGTGAGGCTGGTGCTCCTGTGCCAAGGACCTGGGGCTGAGGGCAGAAAGGCCGACGCTACCGTGAATGTAGCAGCGATTCTTTTTGCCAAAACAAAGAGCGTGTTGTTTCACTGTGTCCTCCCTCATAGTAGAAGTTTTTTTTGGTCACCCCGTGTAATATGAAATGTTCTTGGTTGTCCCACCTTAAGTCGTTTCAGAGGGGGTAGCTGTGTTGGTCTGCAGTAGAAAAGCTAGATTTGAATCCAGTCCTGCCTACAAGGTTGAGAGTTTTTTTGAGGGAAGAGCTCTTGTGAGTCAAAACTCCATTTGTCATATATCCTGTTGGCCTCTAAGTTGTTACTGGACTCATGTCCCTCTCTTCCCCATTAAGGAGGTGCTGGTGGGAATGTCATACAGCTAACTCTTCAACTGTCCTGAATAGTTAAATGTTCACCTGAGGGAGCAAGTAATAATAATAATGGCTGCTTACTGTCAAGATGCAGCTGACTCCCGGCGACCTGAGTACCATGGGTTTTTCAAGGCCAGAGAGGAGCAGAGATGGTTTGCTTTACATAACCAGAAAAACAGGGTTAAGAAAGAAGTCCTCTTGTATGCTGCTGTATTCTATGGGGCTTCCCCCCCCTCCTTAATACTTAAACTGGGCGGGTACCCCTACTACATCCGCACTAAGCCTCTTTCCTCCCCTGCCTTGTGCTCATCCAACCTCCTCGCTCAAGCATCAGGCCTGAGCTGAGCATTAGCGACGTAACATGCATTCCAGAAATCACGCGTCCCTTCCAGCTGCATCTCAGTGCAAGAACAAGCAGGGTGGAGCGGCAGGTTTGTTGGAGTTCTGCAGATGCTCGCCTCTCAGCCCCTCCCCTTTGGCAGGCAGCGAATTGTCAGGTTTCTGTTGCTGGCATGGGAGAGCACTCTTGATGAAATGGCAGCCTCGTTGCTCGCCTGCCAGTTCTCCCGTTTTGATTGTCGCTTCAGTGTTTGCAGAGTTCGGTGGCAGCTAAAGAGGCCCCAGACAGCAGCTGCAGCTGTGGGGCTTGTCGGATTCAATCTTAGTCTGGTTTTTCGGTCTGTGCTCGCCGGCTGCAAAGTTTACGGGAACAGAGTTTGCCCCAGGCTCTGGGGACTGAGGTGGAAGATCTAATTGGATTTAACCTGGCTACACCCTCGACCACTACAGGTTCTTGGCGCAGTTCATATGGTTACAGTAGAACTTTTATTGGCAAACTTTCTGGTAGAGTGAGGCTCGTGGGTTGTTTTGTGGCTGTCCATTTTCCACTATGTTAAAATATGAGAGGCCACAAATCTGTGTAGGAACCCTGCATTTTATGTATCGTGTTTGATCCCTAGGTAAAGTGGTCTTTCTTGGCAGCCAGTAGGACCTTGTCACGGCCAGGTCTAGGGGGCTGGGACAGGTACAGGTGCATTCCTTAGACAGAAAGCACGCTTTAGAGGGAAAGACTTGGAGCACAGCACAGAAGAGCCTGGGGACATGAACAGGGAAGACCCTTTTTCTCCAAAGATAATAGGAGGCAACCAAAAGTTGATAGGAGGACCCCCTCCTGCTGATACCTCTCTCAGTCCCACATGGTGGTTTTTGGCTGACATCTTCTCTACCCTTGGTCTTTCTGCCCAACAGGTAGAACTGTCATGCTTCAGTCAACATACCTGTGAGGCCTGCGACCTCCCCACTGCCCTGCTCTGCCTTTCTTTGCACATCCTTCCTCTTTCTCCCTCTGTTCTGAAGCAGCAGGAAGATATGCAAGCCAGTACTGAGGAGAGCAAACCCAGTTTGAGAGCCAGTTTGGTGTAGTGGTTAAGTGCGCGGACTCTAATCTGGGAGAACTGGGTTTGATTCCCCACTCCTCCACATGCACCTGGCTGGATGACCTTGGGCAAGCCATAATTCTGGCACAGCTGTTATTGAAAAAAGAGCAGTTTCTGTCAGAGTTCTCTCAGCCTCACCTACCTCACAGGGTGTCTGTTGTGGGGAGGGGAAGGGAAAGGAGTTTGTAAGCCGCTCCTTTGGGTAGTGAAGGGCGGGGTATAAATCCAATCTCCTCCTCCTCCTCCTCCTCCTCTTCTTCTTCTTCCTCTTCCTCTTCCTCTTCTTCCTCTTCTTCCTCTTCTTCCTCCTCCTCTTCTTCTTCTTCTTCTTCTTCTTCTTCTTTTTTTTCTTCTTCTTCTTCTTCTTCCTGTTGGGTGACCCTCCAAAGGGATTCCATGGTTGGTTGTCCCGGGTTAGCTAGGTCTGAAGCGTGGAAGTGAAACCACAAACAAGCCCTCCTTGGGCAGGGACTAATAATAATCAAGAATAGCCTTTGGGAAGTACAGGTTCCAATTCCAGCCTCTCTCGCAGTTTTGGTTAGATTGCTTTGTCTTAGAAAAAGAATAATGCGCCAGGGTATTTGTTGAAGCTGGAGTAAAATAATGTCGCTTCAATCAACTCGGGAAGCCTTTCTCGGTGTTCTTGTGAAGGCTGTAACTCAGGCATCACCATTCCATTCTCTTTTTGGTCACTGTATATTCAGTAGCACATTTTTTCTTTCGAGAGCTTCCTTGCACAGCCAGTTCACCTGGATTTTCTCTTTCTTCCAGGTACAGTATTGTGGTTTCTTGTTCCGGCATGAGGGCTGGCCCCTGTGCATCCACGAGAAGATCGTAGTCCAGCTCGCCTCCCTTGACTGGCGGACCTTGAAGCCGGGCGACTTTTACCTCCAGGTGGTGCCTTACCTGAAAAAGTCCCCACGAATCATCGTCAAGTGCTTGGCTAAGGACAGGCATAATGTGGAGGAACTCGTGGTCCCCGAAGTCTCCTACACCTCCATCTTCACCATAGAATGGCTGGACTGCATCAACAGAGAGCGGATGGGAGCTGCTCTAGAAAACTGCTTACTAGCCACAGATGATAAAATATTCCGAGTGCCCTGGGAAAAAATAGTCAATCCAGAATTTATTGACAAACCGAAAGCTATGGAAAGTGACTTACACTCTGACCCAGTGACCGAAGGTTGCCCTGCTCTCAGCTTTTCCGAGGAGTTGCTCCAAAGCATCTCTCCTGAGATGGCACCCCAGACTTCTCATGGGTCACATTTACTCGGAAGCAACTCGGTCACGACTGCAACAGCAGAGGAAAAGACAGCTGGCAACAGTGAACGTGGGAGCCTCGTGCTCGACGAGGACTCCGAAAGCGACCTGGAAGGAGAATATGTGGAACTTGCTGCTGTTTCCCTGCCTCGATTGGGGCCCCCAATGGGTTCCTTGACCCAATCAATCTCTCTCAGTTATTGCACTAAGCCCCAGCCAAGAGCAAAGAGCCAATCAGCAGCCCATCAGGTCAGCAGCAATCGCTTACAGAATGGGGTATGTTTAGCACTTACGTTGATGCCGCACAGCCAGTTGGATGCAACAAGGACTCCTGACACCCAGGTGGGCGATGCTGGGATTTGTTTGGAGAACTGTCCTGCCACTGGAAGTGAACCCTTGCTACTGAAAATTGCAGAGGGACCCGAGAGGAATCCAACCTCTGGGTTTCCCGGTGTTGCCTCTGCAGTCACTGGCACTCAGGAACCTTCCCAAGGGAAGCGACAAGCTCCCCCAGAGCACGAGCTTGACTGGAGATATGCCATGTGCAGCTACACAGATGACGAGGACCCTGAATGGAAGCCTCCGACTGCAGGAGAGACCCTTGAAAGAACAGACATGGCTTGGGGGAACACGGCAGGGGAGGACAATGGTGGAGGGGAGTCCAAGCGCTACCTTGGGGTGTCTGGCACAGAGGTGACCCTGGGAGGAAGCAGGGAGGGCAGCGTGCTTGCTGGGGAGAATCAACCTGCAGGACAATCGAGGCTGTGCTGCCGTTGCAAGGATGACTCCGGCAGCCCCCAGCCCAGGGTGCTAGAAAATGCTTTTCTCCAGCCTGTAACAAACCTGTTACCACCGGGGCCTGTCTCTGACGCGAAGGCAGCAGACAGTCCCCCCTTGCAGGAACCATCATCTGGGGTCAATCGTTCTGAACGGCTGGTGAGGGTCCCTCTTCCTGACAGTCAGGCGGAAGAAATGAGCCCACAGCAAATAGTTCCATTATCAAAGCTGGGCAGGGGCGGTGGTGGGGAGGGAGAGCCCCAAGGGATGGCTCATCGGGGTCTTGTGGAACAGGAGAAGCAGAACGGTTGCGGAGACTGCGCGTCTTTCGAAGGGCAGACAGGGAGGTGTCTGTTCTCAGAAGGAGGGCAGGAGGATGTGCGTGCTCCTCAACAGCAAGCAGAGGATGCTTTGCAACTTAGCCTGACTGTAGCAACACCGGGAAGGCCAGTAGCTCAGCAGCAGGAGAACAGCAGCAGTCCTCCAGCAGAGACTGATGTGCACACCCATGGCTTCCCAGCCACTGTTAACAAGGAAGGGCCTGAAACATGTTGGATGGACCGTCTGAGCGGGCGAAACCCCCTGCTGTCGGAAACCTCCAGGGAAGTCTGTGAGTTGGAAGGTTTGACAGGCCAGAGAGAGGAAAGCGGTGAAAATGGTTCAGGAAGAGAAGAGCCATGCAGGTGGACCCTCCCAGAAGCTGGGTGTCAGTCTGCCCCCCTCGAAACTCCTGAACAGCTGGATCCCATTGAGCCTGATGCTGAGGACACCACATCATCCCTCTCAGCATCAGTGGCAGATGAGTCCCCAGGCAGCACCAGGCATGGAAGCTCAGGTGTGGTGAACCAGGATGCCGCTTCCAAGGCGTTGCTTGTCAGAGGTAGGGCTTTTGACGGCTCGGTTCGTTGGCAGGGATGACTCTTGCATGTGTTGTCAAAATAAAAAGCAGTGCGCCCTAAAGGTGACCCAGAACAGAAAGAGTTCAGGTCAGGTGTTTTGCTTCCCTGCTTGGTTTCCTGTACCAGGGTGGAAATTACTAATGGGTGGAGCATTTTGCATCCTCTGTGCCTGGCAGACTTTTGGTAAAATAGCAACGCACATGACCATTTTAGCTTTTCTTCCCTTTCTTCCCTTTAATTTCTTTTTAAGAAAGTGTTTCTAGCCCTCTTGTTTGTGGGCCGTAGTTTGGCAAGGTGGGAGCACAAAGGCCCAGAAACCAGAGAGGGCTGGCGAAGGCTTTCAGAGCCTGGATTGGATGGAGGGACAGATTAGAGTTCTGCCTGGCCCAAATTCCATCCCTCTGACACCATCGCCCTGTCTCTGCAGTTCATCTGCTGCCAATTTTCACATCTCGTAGAAATGCTCAAAGTGATCTGGATTGAACTGCAAGGATTCTTCCTTTCAACACATTATAGTAATCTACACACAAACTAGAGTTGCCAACCTCCAGGTGGGACCTGGAAATCTCCTGCTATTACAGTTGATCTCCAGACGACCAAGATCAGTTCCCCTGGAGCAAATGGCTGCTTTGGAAGGTGGACTCTGTGGCATTATACTCTGCTGACCTCTCCCACACCCCAAACCCCGCCCTCCCCAGGCTCTGCCCCTAGAATCTCCAGATATTTCTCAACCTGGAGCTGGCAACCCTAACTCCCACCCGCCCCTTGCTGTATCTCACCCAGTCATTCTTCTCTCTTACCATTTCCCCTTCATACCCCAGGAAACTCTCTGTCTCACATTTTTGTCCTGCCTTTCTTCAAAGTATCTGAGGGCGGGGTGCCTGGTTCTCCCCTTCTCCATTTTACACTCACAACAATCCTGTGAGGTATGTTGGGCTGAGAGTGAGTGGCTGACCCAGGATCACTCAACAAGCTGCACAGCTGAGCAGGGACTTGAACTGTGGTCTCAACAGCTCTGGACATCCCTGTGCCCCAAACTGCCAAATCCGGAACCATGAATGCAGGGTGGGCTATGCAAATGTGCTAAATTTGCATACTTTATTCTCACCTTTAAATCTCAGTGCATTACTGGAAATGCCAGCATGACCTGGATAGCCCAGGCTAGCCTGATCTCCTCAGGTCTTGGAAGCTAAGAAGGGTTGGCCCTGGCTAGTATTTAGAAGGGCAACCTCCAAGGAATACCAGGGCTGTGATGCAGAGGTAGGCAATGGCAAACCACCTCTGAAACATCTCTTGCCTTAAAAACAAGTCTAGCTTAGCACTTAGTGGTGTATAACGTTAAAAGAGCTAGAACTTCTGGCTGCCAGACAGTCTTAGGATCTCCTGGCTATACCACATGCAGTGCCATACAATGCCCCCAGTCACACGGGCAGGAAACTGCGGGGGAGAAGCGTGGCTGTTTGCCCTGGGGCAAACTACTGCGCAGTTACGCGATCAGACCTCCTGTGGAGGTCCTGTGGAGGTACCGTGGAGGTTCCATGGCAAGGGAGAGGTGCCGATCACAGGACAAGCCGGCGTGCAACGAAGAAGCGCGCGCCGCGGCAAACTGTTTTGTTTTTGTGTGTACATGACAAATGCGCATGCTCCGTTGGGTGCGTGTGCGCATCCACAGAGACTTGGACAAAAAAACCCCACCTTATTTGCAAGGGGACATGGGCGGGCGCCGGATGCCACCGGAAACGCGATCAGACGCCCGCCCTTGCCCCGCAGTTTCCGGAAACTAGTACCTCTGAGGTACTAGTTTTTTGCCACGCGGTTTCGGCTGGAAGCCTCGGTTGAGCCACAGGAGTGCTACGCTTCCCAGATGTGCTGGTGAGATCGCGCCTGGAAACTCCGCCTGTTTTCCGTCTCACTTGTGTGGCTTCTGTTCCGTGTGACCGCAGCCAGCAATTAATTGATTAATGGAAATGCTCCTATCATGCAGTTTTCCAGCAGACTCCGTTACACTGAAGACTTGCACAGGCTAACGGAACAGCGGCCAAAGGCTGGCTTCCCTAATGAAGGAGCCAATAATACAGTGGGTAGAGTACCTGCTCGGCATGCAAAAGGTCCCCAGCTTCAATCTCTGGCAGCTCCACTTACAAAGGATCAGGCTGTAGGTGATGTGAGAAGCCTCAAACTCAGACTCTGGAGTCCGTCATAGTCAGTATTGTCTGTGCTGACTAGCAGCAACTCTCCAGAGTCTAAGGCTTCACACATCACCTACAGCCTGATCCTTTGTAAGTGGAGCTGCCAGAGATTGAAGCTGGGGACCTTTTGCATGCCAAGCAGGTACTTTGCCATTGAGCTATGGCCCCTACCCACTGTTTTGTTGGCTGTTTCATTAGGGAAGCCAGTGAATCAGGGAACGATCCACAAGATAGGCCACAGGATCCGTTGTGAAAGCTACAGAGGGAATTGGGAAGGTGCGGGTGGCCTCTTGAGACCCAACAGGTGTGCCCCAGCACCTGCTGTAGTGTCGCAGGGGATCTGGGGTTGTAACTTTTAGATACACAAAGCAGGCCCTGGCCAGTGAGGCCAGTTCTGGTCTGCTCCCCTGCAGGTATTTTCCTGATTTGCCTGGCATGAGGTCTTGCTGCAGCATCAGCTGCGTGGTACATGTTTGGCAAATGGTCTAAAGTTTGATGGTGATGTATGGTGCAAGCTGTGCTTTAAGCCTGAACGAGTGAGGAAGAAAAGGGCCCTCAGGCTTCTACTCCTGCCTGCCTTGTTTGTGTTGTGTATTCATTTACAATATTTCTGTACCGCCTCTAAATTTGTGTTCAAGGCAGTTTCCAAAGACATAAAGTATATAATAGAAAACCACCTACCAAAAAAAATTCCTAAGAATTCCATTGTTTTTTAAGCAATGGTGTAAACTTTTGAAAGATAAACCACACCGTTGGATTACACGTCTTAAAAATTCAGTGCTGTATGGCACTCTGCTCCCTGCATCGGAAGGCAAGCACATTTTATTGATTAATTGATTGATTTGATTTATAGCCCGCCATCCCCGCCAGGGCAGGCTCAGGGCGGCTTACATATCTACAATAGCTAAAAACAGCAATATAATAAAAGCATTAAATCTTAAAACAACAACATAAGGTGCTAATACCAATATAAGTAACAATGGCGAAGGGAGAGTACCATCAACACACTGGAAAATGCAGTCGGTATTAGATTTTAGTGTCGGCGGAACTCAGGCTGTCAGTGATAGTGTTGGGCCCAGGGCCTTGATGTATTGGGTGCGGCTCCTTAAGTAAAGGCCTGGTGGAAGAGCTCCATCTTGCAGGCCCTGCAGAACTGTAAAAGGTCCCGCAGGGCCCTAAGATCTTCTGGGAGCTCATTCCACCAACGTGGAGCCGCTACTGAAAAGGCCCTTGCCCTAGTTGATGCCAGCCTTACGTCTTTAGGGCCTGGAAGGGCCAGATGGTTTTGGGATCCTGACCACAGTGCTCTCTGGGGAACATGTGGGGAAAGGCGGTCCCACAGGTTGGTAGACCCTTGACCATAAAGCCTCCTGAGGCTTGACAGGTGGGCCCAGGTTGTGCCGTTATCCATAAGGATTCTTCCCCCCTCACTGCCCTCCATTCGGGTGCTCAGCAGCACCTACAAACCCACTCTGTCCCCTGCCTGCTTCCTCGCCCCTTTCTCTGCCTCTCCACCTTACTCCTCACCTCGTACAGACACCTAACATCACCTTGGACTGCTTCCCTCAGCAACTACACACACCCTGATTTCATGCAATCCGAAGTTACTCTACCGTGCTTCTTCATTCCTGAGATCCCAGTGGTGTTAGCCCTTGACTATAGATTAGTTTCCGTGCATAAAGATCTGTTCCCTTTCAGCCTTGTCCAGACTTCTCACACACCTTTACCCATATCTTAATTCCTGCTTCCTAAATTCTCTTATACTTCCCATTTGGGGTTCCAGATGAAATGTGCAAGTTTGTAAGTTTTATTCAAAGAAAGGCATTTGCATGTCTCAGGCTAAATCGGATAATTTACTCCAGGCCAATCATCTGATTTTTCCAGTTGCAGGCTTTTGATTTTTGTGGGGAATATTATTTTTATGGAGAATAGTATCTGTTTTTATGTTGTTATTATAAACAGGGTATCTAGGCTACAGGCAATCTGTAGGATATCTTGTCATCAATTTAGTGATGATTACAGCTATCATGGGAAAACTGGACACACTTGTAATTTCTGCTCTGTGTGTGTAATCTGTCATGTGACATGATTCTCTGACCATAAAAGTCTGGGTGCTCGTGAGGAAGAGCTCAGCTGTACAGTTGTGCTCTGGGCCCCTTGAATCGCAAAGATACTTCTTCAAACCACTCTTCTGTATACCCCATATGGCTGAAATCCTGTTCACATGTTACGGTGAGAACATGTACATAATGCATGTATGTGCATGCATTTGTTTGTAAGAAATATGACATGGGTTGCTTTTACGGATGAAACCAGGGACCAATACTAGGATAAACGTAGGGTTTAAATCAATCTGTGCATCAGCTGTAATGTGCATCAAATGTAACAGGAGAATTGCTCAACACTCATATAAAGAAAACTCGTGTACACAGATTGTACATATGTTCACTGTAACCACAGTTCCTGTGACAAGGCTTCAAGTCCAATTGCATGCCCAACAGATCTGTGATTCTCCCCCACCCGAGTTCAAATGAACCCCCATTCCCTGGGCATCCAGGTAGTGCGAGAGCAGCGGCTCTTGGCATTAGCAGCGTGGGTGTAAGCCTGGTGCGGATCTGAACCCGAAAGCAATTATGTGGGGAGGCAGATGTCATTCCAGTTAGACAACTCCTAGGCAATAAACTTAGTAACTAGGAGAAATTAGCTGAGGATGGAATTGAAGGAGGAGAAGCCATCGGCTCTGGCATGTGCAGAGAGATGGATCTGTTTGGTGAACATGGAAGAGTAGCTGT